TCTCAGCCCCGCATCTGGGTCTTCCCAGCAGCTCTTCACATGGGCCTTTGAAAAAAGGCACAGCTCCGAAAGATGCCAGAATTAAATTGGAGGACAAAACTCCACGTCTGAAATAAAGACCGTGGGAACCGCTTTCTTCTGTAGCTAGGGAATCAAAGTGCTTGCCTCTGAAATCGACCTTAGTCGGAATGGACACCTTTGATCAGCTTGTCTGGGCTCTCACGCCCTTGGCCGACGATGCTGATGTTTAGAGCCATAGAAGGGATAGAGTTCCAGGCAGAGGGCGAGCTGGGGCCAAGGCCTGGCCCAGGAGTTGGATGGGAAGAGGAGCAGCCGGCAAGACAGGGCAGCTGGCGCGGGAGAGATGGCGAGGGTCCCGGGTCACGGGGGTGACGGGATGTCATCACTGCAGTGAGAGAGGGAGGCTGGCTGGCCCTTTCTGGACACTCGGCTGGCCCTGCCACAGGACCAGTCTGTAGAGGGCTCATGGGGCTACTTGCTTCTGTTCTGGAAGCCGCAGACTCTGCTTGAGCTGGGCAAAAGCAGCCGTCTCCCTAATGCTGCAGGGTCACTTCTGAGTGCCAGTGTCCCCAAACCCCTATGTGCAGCCAGACATGTCTGCCTCTTACATGACCCAAATCTAGGCAAATGGCCTCTGAACTTTTTAACTCCCTTTAAAAGGGTACGGTTCTTTCATTTGAGAAGTTTTTCCTTTTGCTTGCCTTGAGGTTTTAAAATTGCAGCATAGAGTGTGGAGTTAAGGACCCAAAGGGATCCAGCTTAAGATCCCGTCTCCACCGCCGACCAGCTGTGCCGCTTGGTCAAAGCTCTAACCGTCTCTGGGCCTCGGTTTTCTTGCCTGCAAAAGGGGAGTGTGCCCAGGGCGCTGGCTCCTCTCATCCGGTGGCTGGGCAGCAATGCCCGGGAGTCTGCGCTGCGCAGGGGACGCCGCACACCCAGGAGCGGCTCAGGGAGGAGAGGAGTCCTGCAGACCGGAGGGGGTGACCCCACAGGCCAGGGAGAGGAAGGGAGCTCCTGGGAGCGCATGAGCCATGGGAATAGCGTGGGCAAAGGCTCAGGAGCCTGGCGTCTCGGGGGCAGTGAGCGGAGGGCCAGGGCAGCTCGGGTTGCGCAGGGCCCAGAGGTGTGGGCTGGACCCTCCAGGCCAGGGACTTAGAAAATTTTTTTTAATGGTGGCCCAAAGTTAAGGATGCACGACATAGCATGACCCCGTCTGAACCCAGTTGTAAGAATGTAACTGAAACCGGAAGATCACAAACGTTGCCTTTGCTGTTCACGAAATGTTCCGTATTCTATTTTTTTTAACTGCTTGTCTTGACATTGTAAATTGATTTCCTGGGTCTCCTCCGGTGGGGCCCTGGGGCAGCGTCAGCTGGATGGGGTGTGGATCCCTGGGGGCAGCACCCGGCAGGCCCTGGCATGGCGGGGGAGGAGGCTGGGTTCTGGAGCTGTCAAGCTCTCAAACCCACAGTTCGAAGTGGCTGCAGATTCAAAAGAAGAACCGGAAAAGGAAGGAATCAGGCGCCCATGAGTGGTAGACAAAGTCTTTCCCAACAAGGGTGACAGACAGCAGGGCGGGTGCTGGGAGGGGGAATCAGGAGGAGGCTGCCGTGGGGAGGGCTCTGTTGGCCACACATGCTGCACTGTGGGCCTGTCACAGGGTGGACCCGGGACTCATCTGAATTCCTTGCCTCCTCCTTGTTTCTGGGGAAAGGTAGCCTGGCCCCGTGGCAGCCCGTAAATCTTCCTGGCTTCTTTTAATCCTGTGACACCCCTGTAAGGTGGGCATTGTTACTCTCCCGTGTTGCAGGGGAGACACCGAGCTTCAGAGAAGGAAAGCCACCTGCCTAAGGTTGCGCAGCCTTCAGGTGGCAGAGCCGGGATCCAAACCCAGGCCTGGTGCCTCTAAAAACTGGGCTTTTCCCAGGCACCCCCACTCCCATTTCCAGCCGGGCCTGGCTTCCTAGCAGTCCTCAGTCCCTGAAGCTGCGGAGAAGTGAGGGATGGAGGACGTGCCATCCCTCGAAAACACTGTCTCTTGCAGAGCGGAGATGGGCAGGGCCTAGTGGTGGTAGCTTGTGCTGCCCCATTGAACTAACCTTCCGTGGTTGCAGTTGTGTGGGGGAGGGGAGGACTTGGAGAAGCCTAATAAGCAACCAAGCTCTTGGGCAGGCAGGCCAGGCTGCAGTGGTGGCTCTGGGGAGCTGGGCCCTCTGTCTTTGGGCCATTTCTAGCCCACCATACGCATGTTCCTGCTTTCAGTTCACTGATGACCTCCAGACCCCAGGGCACCCGCATGCCTCACCCCCACCCCCGCAACCAGACTTGGAAATGACTATGAACCTCTCTGTAGCACCGAGCCATAACAGGGGGATGCTTGGCAGTCAACTGGAGCAGCCTGCACCCCAGAAGGGGCCTCTTGGCGGCACAGGTCCAGGAGAGGGGGGATGGGAGCTGAGCCGCTGTGGTCCAGGCTCCGGGGTTCTGACACCTCAATGAAAAGAGGGGACGATGGAGACAATTAGCTACATCGCCAGGTTGGAACCCAGTTGCCTTCACGGCAACTGTAGGCCTCCCTCCATCCCGCCCTCTGTCTCTGGCCTGCTGTCCCCAGATTGGCTGCTGTTATTGATTGACAGAACTGCCTCATCGCCTCACTTTTTGGAGACAGCGTTTTCATGTGAGGTCTGAGGTTCTCCTCTCTGTGGCAGACCTGAGCCAGGGCCATGCATTTTCATGATCCTAACCCTCTGACCTTAAAATAACGAATCCCGGAAGAATACAGAACAATGGTCGTCTATTTTTTTATAGAGTCCCCCCAGAATTGTAAAGATCAGCTTAATTGCAGTAGCAGATTCCATCATTTTCTAGAAGGATACCTCGAATGAAGAGAATTTTTTTAAAGACAATTGAATGAATGTCTTCCCGACAGGACGAACAGGAAGGTGGCCTTGTAATGCTGACAGCGTGTCCAGCCTCCTTGGGCCTGGAGCGGCCTCTTAGATACACGAAGAGGGACGCGAGGCCCGGGCGGAGGTGGCCAGGCCTCCGTGCAGTCCCTGGCTCGACCGCTTTCCTGGTGATTTTGGTCAGGTTCCAACCTCCTGACCCCCGCAAGGAGACACGTGCCTGGCGCCCCCATCCTGGCTGCCTCACGGGGTCACTGTGAGAACCACACCGGAGGATGTGAATAAAAGCCAGGAGTGGCTCTCGAGCTGCGTCTGGGACGCGGAGGTCCCGGGCAGAGGGGACGGCAGAGGTAGATGCAGAGCAGAGCAGGACCGCGACGTGGGGCCGCTGGGCAGGGCGAGTAATGTCCACCTCACCCCTCTTGCCTTTTGTCCTTTCTGGCCCGCCTAGGACTCCGGGGGACATGCCTCCGCACCCCGACCCTGCCCCTGCCACACCTCAGACAAACCTCAGCCCCGAGTCAATGCTTCTTGTTTTATGACCCAACTGAAATACTACTATGGGTAAACAGCAGCAGCGACCTTGCCCTGGAGCCCAGGACAGAAACTGCGCTGTGAAAACCCGCCCACTCCACCCGCCAGAGGGGAGGCTCAGTGGGCTCCCCACGTGAGACTTGTCACAGGAATGACATGTGACAAAGTCGACCCACTGTGACGCACAGATGCCGGTTGATTCCCCGAAAGTGTCAGGGACTTCGGATCTTTGGAGGGAGGGGTGTCCCCTTAGTTGCTCAATAAGAAACTCAAAATATCAGCGTGGTGGGAGCTTCGAGGGATGGATTGGTGTGAAGGGCCATCTCCATCCCTGTCCCCAGTCTTCCTGAGGGCCTGGCCTCCCCTCTTGGGACCCTGCTCAAGGCTGAGCTGAAGAGAGCTGAGCAGAAACCAGCCTGGCCTCGCGCCAGCCCCGCACGACAGGCGGGAGGTCCACGCCTCACTTTCCCCAACCAAATAAATCTCGCTGCTCCCTCCGAGCGTCTCAGATGCGTGATCTTCTCCCGATTAACAACCTGGCCAGCATGTTCTTGGCTGCTCGCTGCCGACCTCAATTTAGAACTGTCTGTTGCTTGGCTGCTGGAGGAGAAAGGTGCTGAGCGGACCAGGCACACTGCAGCTGCGGGGGCTTGCGTAGCTGGGGTCTGGGGATGGGGAGGTGGCGGCTACAGATCCGGCCCAGGATCTGGCCAGCATCTCAGGAGCCTGCAGGGGGGCCGGCCCGGCAGGCTGTTGCTTTGGGGGCTTTCTAACTGTTTTCCTAGGTGCCTCTGATGAGGAAGGGTGAGGGTGGAGGTGGGGAGTGGGCAGCTCCCACGGAACTGCCTTTGGAACGGTCATTGAACATCACGGTCACGGCCAGACAGCTGCCTGCGGGACACCTAGGCATTGTTGGAGGACTGCTCTCAGGGCATTATGGCTCATTATGTTCTGCATAAAAAATTTGACAAATTCTTCTCTGAGCTCAGATTCGCGGCCAGCTCTCTCTCGGTGCCTGGCATGGCTCCCCCTCCAGGCTGGGGAGAGCACAGGACTGCTCTCCGTGTGGCTGCTGCTGGGAAATGCTTCTTCCTGCCAAGAAGTGTTTATTTTCTTTCCTGCCTCCTTCCTCTTCCCATATTCACCAGCTTTGGGTCTTCTGGGACCTGTGCTGTTATCCGACATGGCATCTTGGCCTTGGAGGGGCCTGCGGTGGGAACGTGGGGTCTGGAGCTGTCCAGCCCTGGGTGGAGTTGCAGCTACGCTCCACCCCTGAGACATTGGAAGCCAGCAGCTTGGCCTCCCTGACCATCAGACTCTTCCTCTCTGAAACGGAGCTCTTACACACTTTGCCCTGGTGTGTTGGGAGTCGGAGAGTCACATGTGTGAAGCGCCTGGCACGACGCCTGCGCACAGTGAGCACGTGAGAGGTGGAGCTGGGAGCCTCGGTCCTCGGTCCTCGGTCCTCGCTGGGAAGCGGACGGGACTGAAGCAGCCTGGAGAGCGAGCCTCTCTCTCCTTTTCCTTCCCCTGCAGGAGGGCAGTCGGTGATCCATACCGGCGCCCCCATTCTGGTGTCTCTGGCCAACAAGGCCGTTTCCTTCGGCTGCAGCATCACCTACCTGTACACCCCAAAATTCAAAACCTTCACCGTCAGCTACTTTCACGTGGACCTCCAGGGCCAGGAGAGCTCCAAGAAGCTGACCAGCTGCCAACCCAGCACAGGCACAGAGAACCAGACCCACACCACGCAGTGCGAGGTCACCCTCAAGCTGCCCAGCGCGTCGGCCACTGGCACCTACTATTGTTTCGTCCGCTGGCCACACTTAAGAGTTAAAGGCAATGGCACCTTCATCCTGGTCAGAGGTGAGGCCACTTCCGTGGCTCTTCCCAGGGCGAAGCCCAGGGGCTTCATGTGGCAGAATTTGGAGCACAGGATCTAAAGTGGGGATTGTTTGCCTACCTGTCTTTTGGCTTTTGCAAAGCGGAACAGAGCGTTCCGGGGGAGCCCCTGGCCGCACAGGTGTGCTGGGACATCCACCTTTGTGTGGATAGTGCAGAGGCCTGGGGTGCGGATCTGCCTCCGGCCGCTTCTGGCAGGCGACCTAAGAGGGGTCACTTGGCCCCTTGGTTTCAGTGTCCCTTCATCGTGAGATGGGTGTCAGGTGAGCGCAAAATGGCACGTGCACATGTGTGTGTGTTGTGGCCCATGAGCGAGCACTCGGCTCGTGTGCAACTTTCTGGGGACGGATTCTTAGTTTTCATCACATTCCCAGAGGAGTGATGACACCAGAAAATTAGGAACAACTCATCAACGAAGTCATGATTCTCTGACCTGCCTCTGTGACTCCCACGGATAGGGGCCGGGGCTTCGGAGCCCCATGGACCTCGGTGTGGACCCCGGCCCTGCTGCTTGCCAAGATGTAACCTTGAGCCTGGTCTTCATGGCCATACCCTCCCTGCCTGTCAAAGGCTTGTATGGGGATGAATGAGATCTTGTCTTCAAGGCTTGGAGCCTGGTCATAGGAAGCGCTTGATAAATAACAGACACCGATGTGCCTGGCATGAGATCGGCACTCTGCAGCGTTTTGCCAGCCAGAATGGAGGGAGGGAGGGAGGGAAGAATGGATGGCTCAAGAAGACAGGCTGGGTTATGCCCTTCACCCCGCCACCCCACCCCGTGCAGGCCAGCCACCTGCCAGGCCCAGAAAAAAACCCATCCCCTTCAGCCTCCCACACCTGCCCATATGATTACTGTTTCCCACGCGGAGGAGAGGAGGCCCCACGAGATGCAGTGACTCAGCCGGGGTTCCGCAGACAGCTCTCAGCAAAGCCCGCTCACTGAGGAAGGGGCACCCGAGCAAAAGGCGTGGTCCTGGCCTTAATGAGAACCAGGCAGCAAGCCTAGGAAGGGGCTCGTCCAAAGCAGTGGCTGTGAGGGCCTCAGGAGAGGCGGGGCCTGGGCGTCCTCGTAGGGGAGTGGTGTGGGGGGCCCGGGGTAAAGGAGATGTAGGGGTGGGAGCCTGGGAGTTGTGGAGTGGGCCGTAAGTAACCTCTCTGCTTCCTGGCCCCCCTCCTAGACACGGGCTACCAAGAGCCCCCACAGGGCTCCCAGAAGATCCTGTTCTTTTGCTTCATTGGCATCCTGAGTGTCCTGAGTGTCCTGGGCACAGCTCTGCTGCTCTGGAAGAAGGTAAGGACACAGGTGCACCGCAGCATCGCCCCTCCCCCTATCGTGGTGGCTCAGGGACGCTCAGGGTCACCTGCCTGCCCCGCAGGGCATCCTGGTGACTGGTCCCATAATAAGTGTTCCCTGCGGCCCCTTCCACCCTCCCTGTGCCTGGGCCTGGGCTGTGAACGTGTCACCACCAGGTCCCTTTTGATCTCGTTGCAAGAAACCAGGACTCTTCAGCCTTTTCTGTGTAAGATCCAGCCCCTTCTCCCCTGTCCCGGAGTCCACCTTCCCCCCACCGCCCCAGGGTTCCATCAGCTCCTCACCTGGAACGTGGGTCTCCCCAGTTCCACACTCGTCTCCCCTCACTCTGCTTCCCACACCCTTGTTTGGTGCCCATCGCCATCCCCCCCACCCACCAGACCGTAAGCTCTAGAGGTCAGGCGCTTGGTGTCCCCAGTGCCCGGGGAAGAGCCTAACACATTGTAAGTGCTCATGGAAAGAATGACGGGGTAAGTGAGCGCTGACACCCGAAAGATGAGTCGGAGGTGGCCAGGCCACGAGGTGGGCAGGCCGAGGGCATCGCTCCCGGTCTGCAGAGGAGGAAACGAGGCTCTCCAGGTTTCCTGAGGCGCTGACGACCACACACTGATTGGTGTATTCATTTGAAAATCACCACTGGAAGGGAGTGTTGATGGCCAGGGACAGGGCCCCCGATGAGGCAAAGCTGGCTCCAAGGGGCAGAGTGTCCCAATGCCTGAAGCAAAATGCGCCCACCTGATTCTTCCAGAGGGGCTCCCTCTGTGCTCCCCGGGACCCTGCCCAGGGCCCCTCATCGGCCCCTGGAAGGCCTGCCACTCCCGGGGTTCCCTTGTTCCCTCCTCTTGCTGCCCCTCCCAACTCCCAACGCCCACATCTGTGGCAGCTGGAGGGAGCCTTATAAAATGCAAATCTCACCAACCCCGACCCCTGCCCATCCTGCCATCTGTGGCCCCGCCTTCGCCAGCCCCCCAGCTCAGCTCCTTTCGCTTTTCCTTCCATCCGACCACCTTCTGCCTGACGGCTCATCCTCCTGCGTGTCTGTGACACGTCCTGATGTTCCTGCCACTGTGCTATTCCATGCGCTGTTCCCGTGGCCTCGGACACTTCTAAGAAGAGTCTTCTCCCATCTTCAGGAGATGGCACAGGGCCTGAGAATTCTGCCCCGGCCCCCTGGCAGACCTGGGGCTCCTTTCCACGACCCCACAGTGGCTTCACCAAGCTCAAGTAGAAATGCCACAGAGCCAGTCCTGGGTCTTGCTCACCACGGGGTCCAGAAGAGCCCCTGCCATCTGTCACTCCCATGGCAGCGCTCTGGGGAGAGGCACCAGCCCCGTGGTGGTCTTGAGGCGAGCCACAGCCTCTGACTGTGACAGACCCCTTAAAACAGGCAGTCAGGGGAGGAGCTAGGTTTGAGAACAGGGAGCATCTGGGTTCAAGGAAGGACAGTGCACAAGGTGGACAAGCCTCAGTCCCCGCCCCCCCTTAAATGGAAATTCCACGCCCACCTCCTCAGGCTATTATGAGAATTAAATGACAATAAGAACAAGTCCCACGGTTCTTGGTAAACTGTTAAGTGTGACATGGATGCCAGTACCTATCCCACTGTCTATGAGATCTACGCATTCAAACAAAACAGAAGAGCGAAAACTCCAGGTACTGTCAGGTCAGCATTTTGGTGAATCAGACAAACCTGGGTTCAAATCCTACCTCTGCCACTTTCTGGCTCTGTGACCTCAAGCAAGTCACCTGTCCTCTCGAGCCTTCATGTCCTCATGAATGGAACAGAGATAATATGAAAACTTGTCTTGCTAGTTGGTTGAAAGGCAAATTAAATAAGGCAGGTAATGCATTTAGAGCCCCACCTGGTACCTGGTGAGGCTCCATCATCCAGCTCCATCGTCCTGAGCCATTATTATGCTGTGACTGGGGGTGGCGCTGGCTTCTGCCAGAGTGTGAAGTAGCTCTCAAGAGCTAATCCTCTGTAAATGGGCTGGGGGTTGGCAGGCGGCCAGGGTTTTTAATTAGCTCCTGCCCAGAGAGGAGCTCCACCGTTGGCAGCGTGGTGCCTGCCATGAAGGGGGTTGATGGGAAGGCCTCAGAAGGAGCCGACCGCGCCCGCCTCCCGCTGACTCCCCAGCTCTCCGCCTTCCCACTGTCCAACCACCCCTGGCTCCACGACCACGTCAGTGCCTCGCGCAGCAGCCGGCACGAGCTTTCCGAGGCCGCGTCCTGGTCCTGGCCCCTCTGATATTTCCTACTGTCCACGCTTCACGCACCCCCGTGCGGCCACCCTGAACCCTCCCGGGCAGGTTCGCCTCTCTCTGGCCACACTGACCATCTTAAGTTCCCGGAGACCTTCGGGCCTTGGCACACGCTGTTCCCTCTGCTTCTCTTCCCTCTCTTTCCAAATGAACTTCTCGGCCTTCAGGCCTTAAATGCCCCTTCCTGCCAGGTAAGGCGTTCGTTCCCTCCCCGTGGGCCAGAGGCTCTGTCCCTGCGGGTCAGTGCACGGACCGCATTTGGGCAAAACTGCTAGTCCCTTGTCTGTCTCCTCACTGGGTCCTAAGCTGCAGGAGGGCAGAGACAGCGTCTATGTCATTGTGCTGGCTGCCTAACAAGAAATGCCCGACACATGCGCGTTGGTTGGCTGAGGGCCACCCGAATGCCAAGCACTCACCCCCTCATCACCTCCCTGAATCTTTGCAACAATTTTGCAAAGGATGGATGTTGCTGAAGAAATCCAGGCCCAGAGAGGGAAGCGGCTTGCACGAGGCCACAGAGCCAGTGAGGGGCAGAGTGGGACTGGACACCTGGTCCAGCCGGCTTTTGCTCAGGACCCCCCACGGCAGTCGGCTCTGTAGCTGGGGACCCTGTCACATTGGCACTGCCTCCCCTGAGCCAGGCCCTGTGTCCGTGAGCAGTGCCTTGTGGGGTCTTTATCATTTCCGGTATCTCTGGGCAGATGAGTGGTCTGACACAGATCTTGGAAGCATTTGGCACGCTTCCCTGAAAAGGGCGGGCGGAAGGTGCTGAGTGATCAATTTCTGTGTGGCCTCATGACAATCTGCCATCCTTTCCCCTGGTGGGTCTGTGCAGGGGGAGTCATTTGTCCCCAGCCCTGACAGCCCTGACTTTCTTCCTCGCAGAAACAGATGTGGGCTCCACGGAAGCAGCTAGCCCGGAAAGGCCCAGCCCCGAGCACCGCCAGCTCAAAGCAGCCTCCCACCGAATCCGTCTACACGGTGAGTACCCAGGGCCTGGGCTCCCCCACATCTCTCAGGCCTGACTCGGGGTCTGGTTCCCGCTTTCCGTCACGTACCAGCTGTGTCCCTCTCTGAGCCACGAGTTCCTCATCTGTAAACGGGAGACAAGAAGTCTCACCTGGTGGGCTTTCTATGAGAGTGAACCGAGATTACATGTGTGGCCCTGACCCCTGATAGGCATGTAGATATGAGGTGCCCTGGGTCCCCTCCCGGGCCCACCCCTCCACTTCCGGAACCAGGGGTAGCGAGGGCATGTGTCAGTGAGCAATGAAGAAAGTTCCTTCATCCAACTAGATGACACTGTTGACCGGCTCACTAACTCCTTCCTGTTTTTACTGCACAAACAACATCACAGCAATGGCAAGAATCACAAAATGAGGAAAAGATCAGGCACTGTCCCGCGCCCTTAGCACATGAGCAATTTTCAATTCTTCACACTCGCCCTCTGCATCGCACACAGACATCATTTTCTGTCCTTACGATCAAGTGGAGACGTGGGCTACGATGCTGTCTGTTTCATTTTGCCCTAAATTTTCCATCACTGCTGTGGTCTCACTGGGGGAGAGGCCCAGCCACGTGCCCACCCCACCCCAGCCCGCCCACCCGCTCAGTACGCGGCCACTTTGCCCAGCAGCTGAAAAGGCGACAGACATTCTTTTCCAGTTATATTTATTACGGTTGCACAAGTAACATATGCTCATTGTAGAGAAAGTGAAGAATAAACGCTCCCTAGTGTCAGGTGGGGTCTCAAGTCCCTGAGACTCTGAGCCGCCAGGCTGGGATCTTGGCTCCACAGCTGGGAGGTGTAGCTGTGGGGGCCTGCAGGTTCCCCAGGAGTGTGTTCTGGATCTGCCTCCAGCTCTAGGATTCTGCCTGTACATGTTGTCACTGTACCTGTCCCCACCACCCCAACTCATACGTGAAACTTGGCTCCTTCCTTGGTTTCCCACAAAACCCCACACAGAGGGCACGCAGAGTATGGCCTCGTTTACTGAGGGTGATGCAGACGGGGACGAGGCAAAGGGCCGACAGCTCCAAGTGGAACACAATACAGCAGTGCTCCCCGCGCCTTCGGGGCCCAGACCCAGGGGATTTCAACCGGCCACAGCTTCCCACGTGGCCCCAGACTTCCCCATATTCTCTCTTCTTTCCCAGCAACTCATCGCAGCATTTCCCTATGAGCATTTTTGGTGTCAGCTGTTAAATAAAAACCTTTCTCTCTCTCTCTTTCTCTCTGCCCCCCTGCCCGCCTCCCCCTCACACACGTGAGATCTCTCTCTATATATATCAAAAAGAAGAAAATAACTATCATCCTAATTCCGTCTGCTTCTAGGATACTCATCACGTTGATTTCTATGCCTTCTAGTCCTTTTTAAATAAGTACATACAAAGAGACCCATACGCGCATTCACACATTCTTTTTCTTAATGCAATAGTACAGATTTTTTTTTCATGTTACAATATCTCATGAACATCTTTCCATGTGAATGAATATCCTTCTCCAAGATTACTTTTGATGGAAGAGACCGAGTTTTGCATGGAACATCTTTCTCGGTTGCGTTGAGACTTCTCGGAGGCTCAAGCAGACTTCCCTGCAGTGTGGGAAGAGGTCCAACTGCCTCCCACAGTTTCAGGGTGACTTGAGAGGTTTGAGGACCAGAAAGGAGATATGGAGGGAGGCCACAGACTTTGTTAGGCTGTGAGACCAGGTCCTACCAGCTGGGGTTGGACCTGGGCAGACAAAAACGACCTTAACCACAGGGATGATGATACCGGGAGCCATTTGTTGAGAACCTATTATGTGCCAGGCACTGTGATAGGTCTTTCACCCTTTTTCTCATTAATCTTCATTTTGGCACTTTAGGATATAGGCGTTGTCTCCGCGTTAATTTTATTTTCTAATTGTCTATTGCTGGTATGTAGAAATATGATTGATTTTTGAATATTGACTTTGTATGGAGCGACCTTGCTGAATTCACTCATTCATTCTAATGGTTTCTCTGTAAATTCCTTTGGATCATCTATGAACCCAGTCATGTCATTTCTGAATAATAGAAGTTTCATTTCTTCCTTTTCTAATTCTCATAAATTTTTTTCTTGCTTTGTTGCTAAGACCTCCAGTATGACGAATAGGAGTGGTGACAGTAAGCATCCTCGTTTTGTTCCCAACCTCTGGGGAAGGGTTTTTATATATCCCTCCTTCTACTTTCTTTAGATGGGTACTTAGATCATTGATTTTCAATCTTCCTTTTTTTTTAAAATTTGTGCACTTAAGGCTATGAAATTCCCTTTATGTGTGGCTTTAGCTGCATCCTGCAAGTTTTGATATGTTGTATCTTCATTATCTTTCAGTATAAATTTTCCGTTGAGATTTCCTCCTTGTCTCATGGGTTATTTTAAAGTATTTTTGTTTAATTTTCAAATGTTTAATCGTTTTCTAGTTATCATTTTTTTTTCTATTTCTCACTAATTCCACTGTGATCAGAGAATATCTTCTGCGTGATTTTAATCCTTTCAAGTCTTTTGAGACACGCTTTATGGCTCATCTCATATTCCCTGTGCACTTGAAAAGAACTTACATTGCACGTGGCTATGTGAATGTTCTATATACGTCAATTAGGTCAAGTTTATTGATCATATTGTTAAAATATTCCATATCATTTTTTTGGTCTAATAGGTGTTAAGAGAAGTGAGTTAAAATCTGCCCATGTGATTGTAGATTTGTGTATTTCCCCTTTTAATTATGTCAATATTTGTTTTTTATTCATGTGAGAAAATGCTCATCATATTTTGTGACATGGGGGAAAAAAAGCTAGAGTACTCCAATTTGATTTTTTTTTTTTAAATTGACCAATTAAGGAGCATAGATTTAGAGCAGGTCATACCGACTGGAGTTCAAAGCCTTGTTCTTTTGCTCCTGGGCTCTGCGACTTAAACTTTCTGAGTTTGAGTCTTGGTTCCATGATCTGTAAAATAGGGCTAATGATGCAATATTGCCTTGACGGCTTGCAGACACGGCATGATTTCTTCCATCTAAAATTCCTTATCTTGAGCCCACATCTCCCTCCAGCAACCCTGCCCTTTCTCCACAACTCTTTATAACTGAGCTGTCAAAATCCCTACCTTCAGTTTCTCTCTCCTTTCCGACCCACTTGGTCAGACTTTCTGCCCACCTCTTCACCAAAACCTTCCTTCTCAAGGTCACCATGGACCTCCATAGAGTTGAATCCAATGGTCAATTCCCGGTCCTCACCTTCCTTGATGAATCAGCAGCATCTGACACCATTGAGCCATCTCTCCTCCTTGAGGCACGTTGCTTCCAGGTCATTCCACTCCTGACGGCCCCTGACTCACTGCCATCTCCCGACGGCCCCCTGACTCACTGCCACACCTCCTCAGCCCCCTGACTCACTGCCACACCTCCTCAGCCTCCTTCACTGGTTCCTCCTTAGCGACCAGTGGAGCCCTGACCTCTCACTGTTGGAGTCCAGTCCTGGGACCCTTCCTCTTTGATCTTCACTCTCCTCCCTGGGCGATCACCTTCAGCCTCAAGGTTTAGACACCATCTATGTTCTGGCAGCTCCCAGATTTATGTCTCTAGCCCAGACATCTCTGAACACCAGAGTCAACTCTATTTGGACATTTCATCGGCTTCTCTCTCAGACCAAACCAATTCTTTACCCATCGAAGTGCCTCTCTCCACCATCCTCATCACAGAGAATGATGGCTCCATCCTTTCTGTTGCTTGGGTTTAAAATTTTGAGTTGTCCTTTCCTTCTCTCTTTCCATCACTGCTCATGTCGGATCCATCATCACATCTTGTCCGAAAGCACATCTGAAATCTGCCGCTTCCGCCCTCCACCGCTAACACTGGCGGGAGCCACCACCATTTCTTGCCTAGAGTCCTGCAATTGGTTTCACATCAGCTGGCCTATCATTATCCTTGCTCCACAGCATGTTCTCTACCTGGCAGCAGCAGAGTGATCCTGTCCAACCACAGACAGGTCATGTCCACTCTGCTCTGAGCCCCTGGTGAGTTTGGGTCCTCCAAGAAGTGGACACCAAGCAAGCGGGGTTAGACATGCAATCATTTCATTCAGGAAACTATCTGTGAGAGAAAATGGGGAAGACAGGGAGAGCCGCCAGACAGATGCAGGTCTGGTCCTGAGTGAAGGACAAGGGGGAAGGGCAGAGAGGAAGCACCGACCACCACACAGTCTCAGGAAGGTTCAGCAAGGCCATTGGGAGCCCCAACTAACAGAGGTCCCCTGTCTCCCAGGGTGAGAGGCTGGGATGGCACCCCTACCAGGCTCAGCCATTGGCCGGGAGTAGCCCACGGTGTGTGTGGCCTCTGTGCACATGTAATGATGGATTTCAGAACCCAGCAGCTGGGGACCTTGGTCTGTGCTGATCCCTGGAGTTGGGGGCCTGCAAAGCACATTCTCATGACTGCGGTTGTCCTGCAGAGGTTCCTGTCTGACTCGGAATCAATGTCAAGGCTCTGATAGTGGCCCCCAAGAGCTCTGTCCGCCTGTCCTCCCACTCTCTCTCCTCCTCACTCACTCGCTCCAGTGGTGCTGGCCTCCTTGCTGCTCCCAGGCCCCGCAGGCATCCTCCATCACGGGGCCTCAGTCTTGGCTGTGCCCTCTGCTCCAGAGTGTCTTTTCTGTGGCCGTCCACGGGGCTGCTCCCTCATTCCCCAGCTCTCTGCTCAGATGCCACCTTTGTGGTGAGGCCTTTCCTGGCCTCTCTTTTAAAATGGCAACCTCCCTACCCCGTAGCCGAACCTCCCTATCTTCCTTCTCTGTCTCTCCGTGGCCCTAATGGCCACCTTTTACTTTCCTTATTGTGATCTATCTCACACCTCACCCTACAGCCCCAGCTCAGTGCCTGGCACGCGGTGGGTGCTCAGCAATCTGCCATATGGATGAGAAGACTTCCGGGTGCCTGAGATTCCGTGGGGCTCAGTGCTGGGCACGGAGCGGGCACCCCGTGGGAACCGCGGGGCACCAGCATTGCGATGTCACCTTAACCAACAGCATTCGACGCTTCCCCTCAGCTCTGCGCTGTCTCTACCCTCATCGCTGCTCTTAGCCTCCAGCCCCTCCCACTCCTCACTGCAGCCGCAGGGGCTTCCCGGCTCGCTGTTGAGGCGGTCGTTTCCCACTCAGAAACCTCCAGAAGTTCCCCGCTGCCAGCTCCTCGGCCTGGCACGAGAGGCCTGTATTGGAGGCCTACCCCTGGCCTGCTTCCTCATTCCATTCATTTTGGACATTCTAAGACCTTGACCTAGAGAGGAAGTGCTCTGTCCCACTGAGTACCTCTCCTTCCTGAACGGCCCCCAGATCGCACTCACCTGTCCCCAGAGTGCGTCGTGTACATCTCTATCTGCAGGTGTCCATGACAACACAGCTCTTATGTTTCCTTGGTCACGGGGGTGGGAGGGTGAGTATTACAGGAAGGCCCTCAGATTAGGTCCTGGCCCGGGGCAGCTGACTTCAGCTCTGGCCTCAGCCTGCCTGAAGGAAGGCCTTGGCCTTGGCTTCCTGCCTCTGCCAGCGCCAACGACCATTCGGGTCAGCGCCATTGCCTACTGAGCAGCAGGAGGCCAAGGACATGGAGCGTCTGAGTCCCAGACAAACAGCTCAGGTCAGCCCAGCCCAGCACAATCCCAGGACAGCAAAGGCAACGCAGCCCAGCCCAGCACAATCCCAGGACAGCAAAGGCAACGCAGCACAGCCCAGCACAATCCCAGGTCCTAGCCCAGCACAGACAGAGCACAACACAGCACAGCGTGGCGCATCCCAGCACTGCCCCGACGCTGCCTCGTGCAGCCCCAACACAGTGCCGCCCCGGGCCCAATTCTGTCCCAGCCCAGCCTGGCCCAGCCCAGTGCAGCCCACTCAGAAGCCTGGGCAGTCTTCTCTCAGTAGGCACATGCTGAGGGAGGCAGGCCCCATCACCACTTAAGGAGGCCTGGAGGGTCTGGTTCGGGGCCTCAGCGGTGTACTATTGACAAGGCCAGTCTGCATGTCACAGCCTGGTGATGCAGGTCACACCCTGAATGCAAATGCATCCAGCAGGTCGGGACTTGTCAGCGGCTTCACTGTGCAGCCAGCTGCTAATTTACAGCACTTCTGCAGGCTCCCCTGCCCTCAGCCCCACCGCGGCATGGCCGCCGCCAGTGTGGGGCAGAGGCCTGCGGGGTCCCAGGGCAGAGTGCTCTTCTCTGGCTCGGAAAGCCCCCAGCCACATGCCTAGGTCCATGGGAGCATGTAGCACGGGGGGCAGGAGGCCTGAGTTCCAATCTGGACTCTGCCGCTGCGGGGCTGTGTGCCCTGGCATCTCGTGTGTGGCAGGCAGGCCGCGTGATTTGGACGTGAGAGAGAAGGTAGCTGCCTGTGGGGCCACAGATCTGCTCCCTTGCCGAGAGGCCAGCAAGGAGGCCCCTTTCCTCCCTTCTCTCTGTGACCGGAAACGTCCAGCGCGGAGGGACTATCGGGTTTGTGGAGGTCCAGGCCTGGGTACACAGAGGGTAGGGGTTCAGGGCTGCTAGGAGCAGGTCCTCACCTCACGTGCCAGGCTCGCCAGTGGTGGCCGGTGCTCTGGGCAGGTGTGGTGACCTGACAGGCCAGAGCAGGCCTTGGAAGTTGCCTTCCACTGGAAATGGGGTACCTCTTTGGAGTGGCCCTGCCCGCTTTCTTACCTGCAGGCGGGTCAGAAACCCCTTTCCCAAAACTCACTCTATTTCTGACTCAGATGGCCCTTGACTCACAGGGCCACCTTGCCATCCCTGTGAGTGACGCCCTTGAAGTGAGGGTCTCTCAAGAGCCAAATGGTTCATTACATGGGTTTTCATACCCAGCTACCTCTCGGCGCCTCCCTCCTCCCCTCCCAACCCCCCTCTTGCCTCAGAGCACCACCTGTCTCTCCAGCCTGCCTCAGCAACCCCTGCTTGCCTGTTGCCAGGGAAACCACCTCCTTGGCAACCAGCCGGCATCCATATGACATGTACATGTGGGAAGGAAAGGTTCCTGCCTCTTGGTTAGGTTGTTGGTGGCTCTGCTCTGACAGTCCCAAAGAGCAGCGACTGTTCCTCTCTTGAGATCCAGTGCACAACAGAGTCTGAGGGAGGGTCCAGGCTGTGACTGCAGAGCGGGGAGGGACGCATCAAGCCTCCCTTGATGACCATTCAGCTGATGATGATTCAACAGTTATTAAGCATCTACTATTTACCAGACCTTGTGCTGGGCCTTTCATGCACAATATCTCAATTTTGTCATTCATTGAGCCTGCAAGATAGATATGATTATTCCCATTATACGGATGGAGAAACTGAGGCACAGAGAAGTTCAGGGGTTGCCCATGGCTGGGAGGTGTCAGAGCTGAGAATTGAACCTAATCTTATCTGATTTCAAAGCCCTTGTTCTTTCTTACTCCTGAGGCCTCTGGTCAGGCTGCTCATAGCTGGGCCTAGAGTGAGTGTGGCCCCAAGACATACACTCAGGGAAGCGAGGAGCCCCCTCATTGTAGCTCACTTGACAAGGATCAGAGACCAAGAGACACACCAGGCACAGCTTTCTGGGAGAAGAGTATGACCCCAATGGGGTGCCTAGGTCATCTGTGAATGCAGGCTGGAGTGGGGGGTCAAGGGAGCCCCAGAGGGTATAGGCAAGTGGTCAAGACCCGCACAGGGACAGGGGCTCTGGACCAGGGGAGTGAAGATGGATGCCAGGAGGGCATCCTATAGGAGCTGTGGCCATAGGTGTCATGGCTGGAGCCTTGAGATGATTCAAGGGCACAGAGAGGAGGAAAGGGATGAGGGAATGGCAGGTACGCAGGCATGGCGGTGTGACCATGCATGGTGTCGCTGGGCAAGGTGGGCCTCCCCTCACAGGCTACGGCCCTCGGGGCTCTACCCATCCCTTAGGCTCCTGCAGGCACGCGTGGTCTGTAACAGGCAGGGAGGCCCGGCTGCTGGGGCCCCTCGGTTCACCTTCCTCTGACCCTCACGCCCTCTCCCGCAGGCCCTGCAGCGCCGAGAGACTGAGGTTTACGCCTGCATGCAGAACGAGGCTAGCAGCCCGCCTCCCAGCCAGAGCGTCTTCTCCCAGGTATGCAGGGTACAGAGCAGCCTGACCCCCTCCTCATCTGTGAAATGGGGTGAATAGGAACATGGGAGTGAGCCCCCACTGTTGATGGGGGCCGAGCCCCCATCAGCCCTCTCTGAGGCAGATGGCTTAGCGGGGAAGAGCACAGGTGGGCTGGAACCCCTGCCCTACCTCTTACCATCTGTGCAGCCTTGGCCATGGGGCTGCTCTGTGTGCCCGACTCTCCTGTCTGTGAACAGAGGGGCCTAACAGCACTCACTTCATAGATTTACCCTGAGCCATGGTAACTACCACTGGAGACAGTGTATTGTGGACACTGACCAATCAGGCAAAGGATGTTAGGCTTCTAGCCAGCCGCCCCCAGGCTGGTGTTGGCTAAGGTCGGGAGCTGGGGTCTGAGTTGGTGTGGCCTGGGCCCTCTTATTATTGTTCTGGGGACCAAGGCATGCCACTTGATCACGATTCTCTCTTACACTTCTGTTTGCTCATCGGTAAAGTGGGTGAGCGACACTTTGCTGCAAAACCAACTGCCTCTCAATTCAAATGAGTTCCAAGTTAAGTAAAGTCTACACCACAGATTTGGACACCATAAAGTACGAACTTGTGGGTAGGCCCATGGGCATGTTGGGAGAGCCATCAGAAGTGAGGGGGGCTGGTGCTTGGCCTCCCCCAACCAGGGAGCCCAGGCCGATACTGTCTGGTGAGTCTCTCCATCCTCAAAGCCCTTTCTATACTCAGCCCTGAACTAAGCCCTGACTGCAAGCAGGGCTCCCCCATCCTGGGACCCCCAAGGATGGCCGGGCCCCTCCAGGCAGTGCCGGCCCTGCACCAGGCCCTGGGATGCTGGCCGGGGTGGTTAGACCTGTCCCTGACCTCCAGTAGCCTTGGGGCTGCAGGAACACAGTCACTGACCTGATAAACACACAGAGACATTTGTAGCCCCCTCTAAGGAGTGGGCTCTGGAGAAGGACGGGACCAGGGCTGGGCCGGAGGCTCTCAAGGATGCTGAGTGAGCCCTGCAGGATGATTAGGAGGTAATGGGGGGACATATGGGGTTGAAGGAGCACCCCAGACAAAGGGAAGAGCATGTGGGGAGGCCTCGAAGCAGGAAAGGGGAGGCCCATAGGGCAGGAGGGCAGAGAGCAGGGGCGGAGTGGAGTGGAGCTAGAAGAGGCTGGCGAGGTGGGCTTGGGGACAAGGACGGGCTTCCCTGTTACAGCTATGCAGGAAGCCACCTATTCGTTTGCCTCTGACTAAAACTAAATTAGTGCAACTTTGTTCTTTTCCTTACCTATTGTTATTATTATTTTTTTCCTTTTTTTCTAGGAGAAACCACATGGATTTGAGAATGACAGTGACTTTAATATGGTCTATGAAAATCTCTAGCATGAGCTGTGCCTGCGCACAGGTCTTGCCCTGGCTCAGAGGCTCTGGGGCAGCCTCTTCCCACAAAGGACGTGATCTGTACCAGGAATGAGGCCCCAGGGGCACCCCATTACCTCACCCCCACATTCCAGGCCCTTCCTGCCTTGGCCTGCCCCACCCCCTATTCTGCACCCCAACCATACCCAGTTTCCCGTCTGCAGGCCTTTGTCCAAGCTGTCCCCTCCACCGGGCGGGCCCTTCCTCAGTCTTCGAGGGCTCTCTTGGACACCACCTGGCCCCAGAGCCCTCCTCGTGAGACCCACAGGCTCTCTCAGCACAGCCTGCAAGGCCGACTGTGAGCTGCTCCGGAGGGACCTGGCGAGGGGTCCTCGTCAGTGCCGTTGTGGAGAGGATGAATAAAGGAGCACGTGTGCAGATGCCCCACCTCCCTGCCCCCGCCCAGCGAGGCCAGAGGCACAGGCAGCCCCCGAGGTAGAACAGGAGGCGAGATGGGATGGATGGGGTATAAATGAAGCGTGCAGAGGACAGAGCTGGGGGCTGAGGAGGTGGCCGAGTGCCTGGAGGCCTGGAGCAGGGAGGGTCTGGGCACAGGCTGGTGAGGAAGGCGATTTGGGTGGTTCCGAGCGAGAGATGCCAAGGTGCTAGCTGAACCGGAGCTGAAGAACGTCCAGCAAGGACCTGAGGTTGTCTCCCATTGGCCTGACCCTTTGTACCTACTGTGCCCAGTGCTTTGTCACCCTCTTTTTCACCCTCAGGGCCTCAGCTTGTTCCTTCTTCCATCCTGAGACCCGGTCCCCCAAAACTCCCTCTGTCTGGCCCATCCTGACCCCACCGACCTCTTCTGCCCTTTATCCGCCTATGCCGAGCCCTGGTCCCCTGGGAATGGAGGCCAGACCAGCTCCTTCCCTCCTGGCGCAGGGCCAGTCCAGCTGCCTCCAGGTCACCTCTCTCTGTCGTGGTCTAGCTGCATGGCTTGGCGCCTGGGTCCTCCCTGGGGTGGGCCAAGGGGTTCCTTCATGTTGTAGAAGCTCGGGCCCCATGTGGACAGTGGTCCCTTTTCTGTGGCTCCCAGAGCTCCCGTTGCCCCTCATTTCACCCCCACGGCAGCCAGCGCTGTGAGAGGTGACCCATTACACAGGCGGTCAGGGGCGAAGGGTCCGGATCACCCAGGCTGTCTGTCAGGCTCTCCCTACCTCTCCCTCGGCTTTCCACTGTTTTCTCATTTGTAAAACGGGCAAGCCAGTCCTCCCTCCCCACCCTCTGCAATCCCGGAGTTCCCTGGGGTACCCTCACATGCAAACCCCTGGGAAGGGTGGGGGGCCCAAGGTGCAGGCCCCGACCTGGGCCACCAGCCCTCTAAGCAGTGATAGAAGGACTGGAGTTGGGGGTGGAGAGAGACTGATGTCCAGCAGCTGCCCCCGGCCCCTCTGCTAGGGTGCCACAGAGCCTCCCTGGGCCACAGGACTGTCCACAGCCTCCCAGCTTGGTTCTGGGCCTGGCTAGCGATCTCACAGCAAGGAGGATTTCGAAATGGGTTATAAGGCTGAGGGAGAGTTCTCTACTCCCCGGAGGCTGGAGGTAATGAACTTCCTGCCCGTTTAGGGAGAAGGAACTGCCTAAGCCTCTGCACAATCTTCCAGGTTCTTAACAGCCTGAGGCCAGGTGGGGGGCAGTGAGGGTTGTTGAGGGTGCTGTGAGCCTCCCCAAGAAAACCAAAGCCAGGAGGAGGCCACCTTGCTGGGCCTTGGCCTCCTGTCCTCAGCCCCTGGACCCCAGGCGCTCTGGCTGGGAATCAGCCGTTTCCAGTTGGCCACAGAGACAGAGAGGGGAGCCTGGAAGAATTTCTCCCACGCCCCCGTCTGGGCCCCAGCATGGCTGCCCTGACTCCACAGTCTCTTCTCCACGTAGGGCCTGTCCCTTTCTGTGCTTGAAACCTTCCTGTTCCCATCTCACTTGGAACCAAACCTCAACTCCTCCCTGTGACCTCTGGGGCCCTCGGGGACCAACCCGTCACCCCCTTGTGGGCACAGCCATTGCCGGCGTGGTGGCCGAGCCCCGTTCAGGGCAAGGCTGTGAAGCCAGGAGGTGTTGACATCTTCCGTGAGCAAGAAGAGACGCAGAAGGAGGAGGGTCAGAGTAAAAGGGCGGGACCCTTGGAGGGGCTTTGACGCAAAGGATGCTGGGGAAGCCGCGTTCTGGGACTCCCAGTGTGGAGCAAAGAAGACCGAGCACCCATTCCCCACCGGCCGGGCCGGAGACGGGCCAGTGCAGGGGGAAAGGGTGGCAGATGACTGCAGGGGGCACAGGTGGCAGTGAGGGAGCTGGAGGGGACAGAGAGCTCCTTACTGGCAAGCTTGCGTGTGACTCTGAATGGGAGAGAGGACCCACCCTTGGGGGTCATTTTGGGGCTGGGTGGCTGCTGGCCTCTCTTGAATCCCAGTTCCACTTCCCAACGGCCATGTCCACTTGAGCCTGGGTTTAAGTGACAATCGAGAGGCTCAGCATTGCTCAGAGAGGACAGATGGGGAACTCCGTGCTTGCGCAGAGGCTCGGAGGGTGTGTGTGCTGGCTGTGTGTTTCCTTCTGCATTAATCCTGCAGGAAAAGCAGCTTGCCAGGAGGCAGCGCGGAGGGGGTCTGCCAAATGGGGACCCAGGGACTGTGGTTGCCCCCACAGGGAGCACCTGGGGTAGGGGCAAGGCGAGCAGAGAAGTGTGTGTGTGTGCTTGTGTATGTGTGCGTGTGTGTGTGTATGTGTGTGTGTGTGTGTGTGTGGTCTCAGGAGGGGCTGGAGAAGGGGAACAGCTGGGCTTGTGCCAGAGGGAAGGGGGCCTGAGGGGGAACAGGTGAGAGGCAGGCCGAGGGGAGCCTTAGACTCTAAGGGTGGCTGGCAGCCATCCCGAGGGTGGACCCCAGGCCTAGAACTGGGAGGAGAAGCCGCAGGCAGCGCTGAGGGCCAAGCCTCTGGTGCTGCTTCCTCTTGTTGGGGGCCCTGCCCCACCCCTCGGGGGTCTCAGAGTATGCTTCTCTCTGCCTGGCCTGACCTTGCTCTGACAGAGATTTCCCATCTCTCCTCCTAGGTCATGCCCTGCCACCCTCGTCAGCGCCTTGGGGCGTCTGAAACATTTTAGCTAAGTCTGACACCCAGGGGAGGGGCCCACCCTGTCCGTTCTGCCCCTCGGGGTTTCAGCCTCCATCCCTCCCTCCTGCTCTTGCTCCTCTCAGCACTTGCCTGAGAAAACCATCCCTGGAAACCAAACTGCAAAGTGGGCGTGGGAAACCATGGCCCCTCCTCAGCAACAATTTCCAGAGGATTCTGCGAAGCTGAGTTTCCATGGGAACACGTGCTGGTTGCACACGGAATCCCACCTTCACAGCCAACATCGCGGGACCTTGGCAAGGTGGGGGCGGGTTGCTGGGCCAGGCACAGCCACTGTGTGTTGGCCACCAGCCCTCACTAACCTGAAATCAAGTTACAGGCAAATCTGCCTTTTTTTTTTTTTTTTCCCACATTCTAATTTAAAGGCCACGCTCCATTCTAAGGATGCCTCTGGGGTTTCCAAGATAGATTTTTATGTTGTTCGATAGTTTTCTTGGCAGACCGCTCAGCCAGGAGAGGTGGGCTGTGGCCTCAGCCCAGCCAGGCTGGCAGAGTGCTATCTCTCTGTCCCTCCTGGATGTTGGGGGATGTCACTTGTCCACCTGAGGGGCTTCACCATCCCTGAATCCAGACTCCAAGAGTTGGGGACATTGGCATAAGGCACTGAGACACTTTCCTTCCTAGGCTCCTCTGACCCGTGGTCATAATTATGGCCTCCAAGCCTTGAGCGAGCGCGGGTCAGGCCCTCCTCTCTGCCCTTGGTGTCAGCAAGTGTTTTTTAATGTGTGTGTCTGTGCAGATGATGCAGGCGCACATTGTAGTTAAACACTTAAACTACAGCACAGTGAAATTGCCTCTGATGCTCCTGCCACCTTGCAGCCTCCATCCCAGTCCCTTCCCCAGAGGCGACCACTGGGTCATTTGGGTGTGCTTTCTTCCAGGCTGTTTTTATTGCATCTACATACACATCTGCATATATATGAAGATATAAAAATCTAGTGCTTGTGAAGGGTTCTGAAAAGCGTGAATGCCATCCTTCTGTAGGCGTTATTTGTGCTTGCTTTGTTCATGCAGCCCCACGCGGTGGGGGTCTGCCTGTGACAGCACATCGGAGCTGCCAGATTCTTTGCTAACGGCAAAGTGTTCTGTAGGACCAGTGGATCCTAATTTAATCAGGCCCCTATAATGGCCTTTTCAGTTCACAGTTTTCCAAGGTCACGGAAGGGACTGCATGGAGCATCCTTAGACATATCTGCAAACCCGTCAGGGTGTGGATTTGAACTGTGTTAACGGGCGCTGCCAAATCGTCACACACGTAGATCGTACTGCTTCCTCTTCCTCAGGCTCTTTATCTAAAATATTTCATTTAATTCTGCGAAGTGGGAGCTCGTCTCCCTGTTTTCCCAAAGCAAAAACTGTGATCCTGAGAAGCTGATTGGCTAAAGGTCGCCAGAAGGGGCAGTGCTAGGCCAGCTCCAGCTCTGTGCGGTCCCACTGTCTCCAGGGAGGAGGGAAGGTGGGGCAGGGAGGAGGACAAAAAGAGCCTTGGAGGGACTCGGTGCCTCCAGGGCTGGGGAAGCCCATGAAGGGACCAATTTCCTTCATAGATGGCCTGTCAGCTTTACCTTGCTCGTACCTGTTTCTCAGACCTGTGGGAATTGGTGGTGTCCCCTCCCCAGTGGTCTATCTCCCTGGGGAAATGCAGGCAGTAGAGGTGGTGGGGCGGCACCCGCCTGGCAGCCCACGCCCACTGTGGGGCCTGGTTCAGGCGGCCTAGATGTTTGGATCCCAAGCCTCCACTGGAAATTGGTGGCACAGCACGCCTGGAGGTGTGAGCCGCCTCTTGGAAGCTTTATAATCTGGGATAATGCCGCTGTAATTGTCATGGTTCCACACTTACAGTTCTCTTGTTACCTGAAAACCTACTTGCAATGGCTATCTCTGGAGAAGGTTTAATTTTGCCACTCTGGACCTGAAGGGGCCGAGGAGCACAGGCTTTTTCTGTTACCCCCTTGCCCACCCCATCCCGATTCCCCAGTGAGTGCCAGGGGACCATGTTCTAGCTGACTCACAGCCTGGGCTCAGGGCACAGCCCCGTACCTGGCTCCCCGCCACGGGCCCCAGGCTGATCTCCACTGAGCTTACCCATCTAGTCTCCCTCCAACCCCCTCTTCCTTCCAGCCCTTTCCACTCTCTGCCACCAAATTGATCTTTTGATAGCGCAGATCTCACTGCGTTTCAAAACGCTGCAGTTACTTACATTTATGGTCAAATCATTTCGACAAAGGGGCTCGGATAATACAATAAGGAAAAATAGTCTTTGCAACAAATAGTGCTGGGAGAAATGAACATCCACATGCAAAAGGATGAGGTTGGACCCCTACCTCACACCCAATACAAAACCTCACGGAGGCTTCCACTGTCCATAGGTGGGAGGCCTGGCCCCTCAGCCCTGCACTCGGGGCACTCACAGCCTCCGACTCCAACGATGTGCCAGGCCTTGTGCTGAGGCTGAGATAACAGATGGTTCTGTCCTTATGGAGTCCCTTAGCCTCCTTTCTGACCAGCTCCTGCTGGCCCAGTGTCCTCCAAGGCTCATCCATGCTCCCGTCCACAGTTGCTATTCCCCAAGGTGCCAAACTCTCCACCTCTGAACCCAAGCAGGAATTCCTGCTCACATGCCACCTCTTCCATGAAGCCTTCCCTAAAACCCCCTCCTCCACCAAGCAGTTTATTTATCTCTCTCATTGCTCTGATCTCCTCTCGTTGATTCAATTCATACACATCCATCTCCTCCAGGAGGCTCTGGACTTCCTGAGCGTGGGCTGGGGGGACACCTTGCTTGTTTCTCTTTGTGCCTGACTCAGCAGGGTCTCAAGAGCCATTTGTTTAAAGAATAAGTGAACCTTTTCCTTGGCTAATTTAGGGCCAGTTTCTTGCTGAAAGAAGGAGAATGATTTTTTTCCCCAACCCAGGAAGTG